GTGGCGGCAGGATGGGCCCGCTGGGGCTGGAGCTGTACTGGAAACACGCCCCCCGCACCTGCAAGAACTTCGCCGAGCTCTGCCGTCGCGGCTACTACAACGGCACCAAATTTCACCGCGTCATCAAGGACTTCATGGTGCAGGGGGGGGACCCCACCGGCACCGGTAAGAGACACCCCCCCCCTCCGCCGTCACCGTCACCGCGGCCCCTCCCGTGCCGGGCGGGGGTCCCGGCTGAGCCCCCCTCTCCTCCTCCCCAGGCCGCGGCGGTGCCTCCATCTACGGCAAACAGTTCGAGGACGAGCTGCACCCCGAGCTGAAGTTCACCGGTGAGAGAAACCGTCACCAGGAGGTCAACAACCCAACCGTGGGGTGACATGGCCCCCAGGACCCCAGCCATGGGGTGGCGTGTCCCCCCATGACACCAGAACCTTGGCTATGGGGTGCTGTGTCCCCCAAGACCCCATCCATGGGCTGGCACGTCCCCCATGATACCAGAAACTTTGCCATGGGGTGGCATGTCCCTCATGTCCCCCAGGACCCCATCCATGGGGTGCCATGTCCTCTGAGACCCTGTCCATGGGGTGGCATGTCCCTCATGTCCCCCAAGACCCCATCCATGCAGTGGCATGACCCCCAAGACCCTGTCCATGGGTTGGTGAGTCCCCCATGATGCCAGGACCTTGGCCGTGGGGTGGCATCTCCCTCAAGACCCCAGCTATGGACTGCCATGTCCCCCATGACACCAGAAGCTTGGCCATGGAGTGGCATGTCCTCCAAGACTCTGTCCGTGGGGTGGCATGTCCCCCATGATCCCAGGACCTTGGCCATGGGGTAGCGTGTCCCCCAAGACCCCATCCATGGGGTGGCATGTCCTCCATGTCCCCCAAGACCCCACCCATGGGTTGTTGAGTCCCCCATGACGCCAGGACCTTGGCCATGGGGTCACTTGTCTCACACACCCCCAAGACCCCATCCATGGGGTGCCATGTCCTCCATGATGCCAGAAGCTTGGCCATGGGTTGGCATGACCCCCAAGACGCCATCCATGGGCTGGCATGTCCTCCATGTCCCCCAAGACCCCATCCATGGGTTGTTGAGTCCCCCATGATGCCAGGACCTTGGCCATGGGGTCACTTGTCTCACACACCCCCAAGACCCCATCCATGGGGTGTGGCATATCCCCCAAGACCCCATCTATGGGGTGGCATGTCCTCCATGTCCCCCAAGACCCCACCCATGGGGTGTGGCATGTCCCCCAAGACCCCATCCATGGGGTGCCATGTCCCCCATGATGCCAGAAGCTTGGCCACGGGGTGCCACATCCCCCATGTCCCCCAGGACCCCGTCCATGGGTTGGCATTTCCCCCAAGACCCCATCCACGTGGTGCCCTATCTCCCACGATACCAGGTCAAACCCCCCCCCCCCAAAACCCAGAAAATTAACCCTGCCCGTCCCCCCGTTTTTCCCTC